CCTCGGACTCATTTCGAGGCTCCCCCGCAATGTGGATGTGCTATTTCGAAATTATTATTTCAGGAGTTCTTATTTTGAAATAATTTCCTAGTGTAGACAGGCCCTGACTCATTCCAGCTTAGGGAGTGGCTGGAAAAGCATCGTGGCTCGGGTGGAGCCTGGTTTTGGGGATACAAAAATGTGGGTGCTGTGCTTGGCTCTGTCACTGACCTGATTGGCAAAGTTTGGCTGGTCGCGTCACCTCTCTCTGCCTCATTTTCTCCTGTATATAAGCCAGCAGTAATGCTCCTTTTTAAAACACTTGAGCACCTATTGTCACTGGGGTATGCTGCAGGATTTCTTTCTTTTTTTTATAAGGGTAAAGCCAGCCTTTTTCCCTCAACTGCTTTTAAAGACTCTTCGGAGCAAGATTTCTGGCTCTTTGACCTTCAAAGAAGTATTGGGTTGCGAAAGGCAGCAGCTGCCATTTCCTGTGTAAAACACCCCATTTGTCAAAAACCCCTTTGGCTGTGCCAGCAAAAAATATATCTGTTCCTGTGAGTGGCTGCTGACCTACATTTTGCTTGGGTGGAGCTTGGATTTTTGCGAGGTCCAATCTGTTCGGAAGATGGATTTGGAAGAGGTGCTGTCTATTAGAGTATGTCTAGACTACATGCCTCTGGCGACAGAGGCATGTAGATTAGGCTACCCGGCATAGGGAAATGAAGCCGCGATTTAAATAATTGCCGCTTCATTTAAATTTAATGGCTGCCCCGCTCTGCCGACCAACTGATGATCAGCTGTTTGTCGGCAGATCGGGGCAGTGTAGGAAGCCTTTGTTGACCGGTGCGGGTATGCCTCGTGAAACCAGGTTTACCTGCGCTGGTCGACAAAGGCTTCCTTGTCGACTGCGGCGCGTCTAGACTGCCCCGATCTGCCGACAAACAGCTGATCATCAGTTGGTCGGCAGAGCGTGGCAGCCATTTAAATTTAAATGAAGTGGCGATTATTTAAATCGCGGCTTCATTTCCCTATGCCGGGTAGCCTAATCTACATGCCTCTGTCGCCAGAGGCATGTAGTCTAGACATACCCCTAGTGGCCTACCTCCCATTCTAAAAAGCTGTCGTATTCACATTTGCCACCATATGCTTTTTATCTCACTAGCTCATCATTTCAATGGGGTCGGTGGCCGGCAGTGGATAATTTCGCTGCCATTTTAAGAATGGATGGGTTGCCTATTAAAGTACACACGCTCCCATTCTAAGACAGTTCTAAGAGACACTGCAAATGGGATGCCGTGTGTCAAGTAAGACAAGTGTTTTCTTGGGATGAGCCGTTTCTCTGTTTAGTCTCTTTTGAAATGCAGGTGTTTTACAATCAGAGGCAGCCGCTTCCTATCTGGTTTATTTGGACTAGGGGAGTATCATTTAATGCGAAGGAGATTTATACTGAATTTCTGGAATCTCTCTTACTGGGTGGGACTCTCATGGTGTCTAGGGAAGAATCCTGGCCCTGAAATCTACCGGAACGACGGTTTGGAAACTGGACTTGATGCTGTTTTGCACTCACAGCGCTTTCCATCTGCGAATCTCAAAGTGCTTTTGTTGGAACGTTAAGGAATTAAGCTTCCCAGAGCTTCTAGCTTCTCCATCCTTGAGTTGGAGACAGTGTTTGTCTTTGCAGACAGTTGGACGGGGTCAAGAGAAGCCAAATGCTGGCAATCGGGAGGGAGGTTCCTGAGAGGAGAAGCAATGGAACTTCTCTCAACCCAGGGTTGTAGGGTTTTTGGGTATATCTACGTGGTGCAGGTGCTCGTGACAAGGCTGTCTCGATGCCACTTAGCCTTTAAAAACGTGTGAATGCTGTTTGTCAGCATGTTTGCCAACAAACTAACTCAAAGCGGTATTCACGTTTTCACTTGGGTGGTGTTCATGGAGGGAGAGGATGGGGAGTTAAGCACCCATGAGCCACAAAAATTTTGTCCATCACGTGCCGGTGTAGACATACCGTTTGTGTCTCATCCGCATCGGAGTCCTCAACAATTGACGAATAGTCCTTCCCTTGGGCACCCAGGGAAGGGGAAACTGAGCTCAGGTTAACCCTTTATTCATTCGGGTTAACCTGAACCCAGGTGCCACCTGCTTATGTGTACCGTTAACAAGAATGTGCCCGATTACCGTACAAGTGGTGCTGTTCAGAATGGGCAAGTAGAACTGAAAGAGCCAACGGGATTTTGTTGGCATGCTTCCACCCGGCAAAGCAAAGAGTTACGTATGTGATTCAGCACCATGCGCGATCTCTCTGCCATCAGAGCGTTATATAAATTGCCTCTTTGAATAGTAAAATTTTCACTGACGTCTTACTCATGTTGGGTAAAGGACAGTTCAAGCACATTTCTGAAGTCTTGATTTCATTAACACAGTCCTGCAGTTCATCAAAACCCATAAATATTTATCTTTAAGCATTCTTTGTAGAATTTCAAAAAACATTTGCCATATTTTAAAAGGAGGTTTCGTATTGTGCAATAACTTTTTCTTTCCGTAGATTCGCTGACAAATAAATCTTTCCAATAGCCATTATGAATGGGGAAGTCACATTCGCTTCCAGACCTTTTACAAAACCTGGCATCTCATTTTTGCAGAAGGACTCGCAGGGTAGGCATGACTTCCCCGGGCACGTGGCATAAGTCAAAGGGGTTTGCAGGATTGCCAACCACAGCCACATAAAAAAAATCATGAATCAGGAACTAAAAATAATGAGTTTTTTTTTTTTTTTTTTTAAATTATAATTT